TGGCCAGGCAACTCCCCGGATCTCAATCCCACAGAGAACCTGTGCTCAATCCTCAAAAGGCGAGTGGACAAGCAGAAGCCCACAAATTGTGATCAACTCCGAGAACTAATAAGGCAAGAATGGATCGCCATCAGTCAGGATTTGGCCCAGAAGCTAATATCCAGCATGCCAGAGTGAACTGCAGAGGTTATGAAGAACAAGGGTCAACACTGTAAATACTGACTCATATTTTTTTACCAATAAAAAACTTATGATATGCTTATCATTGTTTTTCAGTATACCATAGAAACGTGGAAAAATAAACTACAAATACTGAAGCAGCAAACTTTGCAAAACACAAAATTTATGTCTCTGCCAAAACTTTTGGCCATGACTGTACATAGCATTAGGGCTGCACAATTAATCAAATTTCTAATCGCAATTATGGATGCCACAATTACGTAATCGTTCAAAGCGGCAATTAATCGTTCAAAGTCCACTTATGTCATTCTGCGTGCTTAAGATGCGTTTTTTCTTTCTTTCTACATGTTATCTTAAGGGTTTTTCCCATTATTTTAATTTTAGTTTTAGTATAACATTATAATACCATTCATATTTTTACTTTTTTATAATTTAAAGAAGAAACCAATCCGATGTATAGTTAACATTTAAGGCTTAATACTATAGAAAAGCACTAAAAGTTTTTCAGCTAGAGTGTTTTCAGCTTATTTTCATTTAAAAATATGGCATGCAGTTGCATCAAACAATGGTATAAACATCATTCAATGTAAATTGTGATAATCGCAATTACAATTTCAAGGGAATAATCGACAATTATGATTTTTGTCATAATCGTGCAGCCCTACATAGCATGAAATAAATGTACTTCAAATTGATTTTAGTATATTTTTCACAAGGGTTGTCTTAAACATATCCTATATCTTCAGAATGAATATAAAATATAAAAAGTATTTCATAGGTCATAATGAAAATGACTATGACACCAGTAGTGGGCTACTATTAACAGTAAACGTTTTGTAAAAACTGCAAAGAAAATACCAGCACCTTTCAGCCTGTCACCATCATGCAAACATGAAATATCAGGCATACAGTAGTAGTTCTTTACAGGTTTTTTGCATTCCACAGCGTGTCACAGATTGCAGCGTGCCATAACACAGGCAAAACCTGACCCTTCACACAGACACACACACCTTACTTCAAAACAGGTCAGACTGAATATCAAAGCAGACCAATCTCCAGCAGATGACACAAATTTTCACACAGAATTTTCTAACAGATGTATTATTTCTGTCAGGATATGTCTATCCACATGCATATTCACTCTGATAAATAAGAGTGTGAATGTTGGCTGAACAGTGTGTCTGAGCTTCATGAGAAATGCAGGAGGTCTGGGAGACAGAGATTCATTAGCGGGACGTCTCCACACTTCACACCCGTCTCCAGCTGTGATTCCTCTTCCAGAAACCAAATGCATCACTCACAAACACAGTCTAATGCTGTCCAGCAGGTGTGAGAAAAACTCAATTTACACTGACTACCAATAAACAGCAATCTCAAAAAAGCAAAGTACACTGAGTGAAGGGAAGGAATAGTGAGATGGAGAAGAAATTGTGAAAATGTACGAAAACATTTTTTGTTGTTAAAAGTGTGCATTTTAGACATTATGTGACTACTTACACATATATATATATATATATATATATATATGTATGTATGTATATATAAACAGAGCAGTGTTTATATATACTATTTCTATATATATTTGTTTATATATTTGTTCAGTTGCTTTGACACAATCTGTATTGTTAAAAGCGCTATATAAATAAAGGTGACTTGACTTGACTTGACTTGTTTAGACAGAGCCACAGTAGCTGTATATACTATAGGCTACTACATCATAATGTAATAGAATAGGAGAAAATATTTTAGAAAATAGGTTATTACTTAAGTTAATTTAGGCTTAAGTATTATCTTATAGTTATAATCATCTATATTTAGCGGGTGTTGACAAATTATAATAATATCATCCTTGGTGTTTTACCTACATATATTGTTGTCTGTTAACTTTTCTACATTAACAAAAAATAATATATATATATCTTAATTAAAATAAATCTGAAATACAATAAAATAAATTCTTAAGATTAGATGGAAAACTTAAAATAAAAAAAACGAATTAGAAATATTGCATTGACAACTAAATAAAAGATGTTAAACCACTAAAATTACTACAACTTAAAAATAAATGATGATTAGAAATATTAAAATAATAATAATAATAATAATAACATAAAAGCACATAAAATTACTAAAACTTACACTAAAATTTAAATTTAAACAAAAATATAAAAAAGCTAAATCAAAATATTAGTAAATGCTATAATATAACATAAAATAATAATAAAACAACAGTGACCCAAAAGCAGCCACTGGGTGCAACGAGGAGTGAGAGGCATTCGGATCCATTTGCAGCTTTTATTTGAATCAAAGGCAGAGTTAGACAGTAATCAATCAACAGCATCACGAGCAGCAGGGATAATCCAGGAGAGTAAAAAGAAACAAAGCGAGGGTCGGGGCAGGCGGCAGAAAATCACACAAGTAATAACAGTCCAAGGTAATACACAAGCTATGTCAAGACAGGGGATAAACGCTCAGAAATGTAGCCGGGGCAATACAAGACTTCGCGAATACTGAGAGTCTGGGAGCTGCTTAAATGGGGAAGCTAAGGAGAAACACCTGTGCCAGTAATCAGTCCCAGGTACGGGGTGTTATGGGAAATGTAGTCCATGAACGCTAGTACTCGGGAGAGGGTGCCCTCCGGAGGCCGTCGGAGAGAGCCACGGAGGCCTGATTTGTGACACTGGGTGTCACTGATATACAGAGAATGTAGACAACCCAGAACACTATGTCCTAGTGGTACACCAGGTGATGTGCACTCTGGAGAACTGCACTCAGAAAAAAAAAAAAATCACATTCATGTTTTGTACTGAATAAACATCTTTAATATATTACATGAGGACCTGCTGTAGTTTTTGCTGTCTAGAAGCACCATTGTGCTAAAGCGAAATGGAACTTCCGTTGTTTTTTAGTTTTGTTTTTAATTACAGCCTCTCTTGATGAATGTATTTCCATAGTGATGGGAAACTGAGGCTTTCTGAACCGTTTGAGGCTTTCATGAAACTGTGCTGAAAAATGGTTCATTACTCGAAGCTTTTAACACAGTGCTCATTAGCGACATCTGGTGCTCAGACTTGGTTTCTCCACCAAATCTAACAAAACATCGCGGAGCAGAGGATGGGCTGTGGCTAGAAGGGATACAGCAAAAACCGGAAGCTAACAATAAATTGAATTTTCTACCTATTAGATTGTGTTTTATTAACGTCTACACCTACCCCAACATAAAAGTAAACCTACCCCTTACAATAATGCAAAAATAGTAATTATTGTTGTACACAGTGTAAGACAAATTTTGCTGATGTGCGCGCATGCCCAGTAGTTTTTGCTTTATGCCATCTAGCCTTAACCCAGAGGATGGTTTGAAAAAGTTTTTAATCTGTGCCAACTCGTGTCATGCGTAGTCCGGTCAACTGATTTACATATTGATCAATAATATAAAATATACAAGTGTGTGATTATAATTAATAATTGACGCGAGTATTTTTTAGTACCCAAAAAATATTTTGGGTTAGCTGTTCGGGGTCTCTGAGACCCCAGCTATAGAACATGATAAAATGCAATAGAGGTGTGACGTGCATTCAGTTTCTGTCTGGTGTTGTTGAGGTTATTCTAAACTATTCTACTGAATCCCAAATAAGTGTACAAACACACACACAAACACACAACCAAGTCAATGTAAAGTCAAACACAAGAGTCATGCGAAGCGCCGATTTTTTTCAAACCAGCTGTCCCGACCTTCCGATACTGCATGACGTTCGAAGCTTCAAACGTCATCAATCACGTGGTATTGTCATTTCGATACAAACTTCGGCACAGTGTGTGATACAATAGTGCTTTGAAAACTGCGTCAGAGCATCGGAGCCTCTGTATCAATCGTCCCACCACTATCTTTCCATTGTGGCACAGCATTGCCTCGAGGCAACATAAACAGCAAAACAGCTTATTCTAAACTACTAACACTATGAAAATCTCATTTGAGCGTACAAATAGATTTGACACCATTTGCATACATACTTTTGACCATTTAGTATGTCAAATATTCTCCTGAAATGTCCAGCACCTGTTGTCAATCACTATTTAAACATATAATTTAAAAAAAAAAGTCTTGGTGAAGAGAAACAGAGGGCAGACAAATAATATTCCAAACATTATAAGGAGTTTTAAAACAAACAGCATTACTTACTACATTATTTCAAAAATGGTTGTAACATTTGTAAACAGTAGTACTTATGATCATCTTCATAACCACTAGATGGCAGCCTAATATTACAAATATCGCCTCCCACAGGAAGTGAGATGGTTTTCCATTAATGTTTTTGCTGGATTGCCTTTAGAAAGACTACTTGTTTTAAAGGGCAAACAAAATAGAGCATATAAAGAAAGTAGTGCATATAACAGACAAGGACAAGGATACGAGGTGGAGTGAGGGACCTACTGATTCTGTTATATTACACAACAATGTTGGTACAATATGGTTACTTTCAAAATGTTGCATTTACAGAGTATGGTGCTTGGAAGTATACATTTTAAATATGTGTTCTGCATCTACATTTGTTTAGTTGTGTTTTTTGTTTGTTTTGTTTTGCCAGTGTTGTGAGTTTGGGGCAGGACTTGGTTCCAAAGCACCAAACAGCCACGGTGTTGACACGTTACAGGGACTACAACGATTTAGAAACAGCTTACTTCAAAGTAGACACACTAAATTTCAAATGGAGAAAGTCTGAAACGTTGAAAAACGATGAACAAATTGCATCACTTTACAGATGATGTCACTGCATACCTAATATGCTGCAATAAACAATATTTGAACCGAGTGTACTCACATCAAACTCATTGAGAGCGGCAGCCAGCTCGCCGATGCCAGCGTGCCCGTGCTTCTCGTCGGTGGGTGAAGTGGCCTGAGCAGAGCTGGAGATGCCCCCAATGGCCTCTTGGACCTGTTTGAAGACATAGTCACGGTTGGCACGTGTAGCAGCAACATCGGGGTGGCGCAGGAAGGCCTGGGAGGCAGTATAGAGCATAGTGGCGTTCTTCTTAAGAGCCCCTCGAGCTGCCGCCATCTCGTCCCTGCATTGAGGGTCCTTCAGCTCCTGGCACACACATACACATATCTGTTTCAGACCTGTCACTTTAAGAACTAATGCACAGATCTAATATACTCATACACATCGGATTTTCTTGCTAATGTTTGTATTCATTTAAAACATAACCATCTGTGTTTTATGTGAACAGTCCGCACAGGTTTGTTTTTGTGAAAAGTGGGGACATCCCATAGGCGTAATGGTTTTTATACTGTACAAACTGTATGTGCTATTGCCCTACACCAACCCTACCCCTAAACCTACCCCTTACAGGAAACTTTGTGCTATTTCAGATTTTCAATACACTCCATTCTGTGTGATTTATATGCGTTTTGAAAAGTGGGGACATGGGGTAATGTCCTGAAAAGTCACCTTCTCCTTGTAATACCTATGTCATACCTTTGTCATTATACAAATTTATGTCCTCATTTGTCACAAAACCGCGTGCGCACGCAGGGCAATTTGAAAATAACTGTGTGTGCATTTGACCATTGACCATTTTATTGTTAGATAATAGCTAGTTAAATTCTAATAGTAGTTAGATAACATAGGCAAAAACTAACTAGCTACCTAGCCAGATGGCTTACATCTACCTCAAATCAATTGTAGTCATTTGTGTACATAAAAATATAAAAGCTAAACAAATGATTAAACCCTGAATGAGTTTCTATTAAGACTGCCTATTCAATGAAAAATGTATTTAGCCTCTCCCTGGAAATATAATAAAATGTTTAATTGAGTGCAATTGGTTGCCTTGTATACAGTAGCATTTTTATTACTGACAAAACTTTTTTTTTTGTTTATATTGAGCAGTTGATGGCATTTATTGATATCAATTTATTGTGCATACTTAGTGAGCCACGTAATATAACATTCGGATGAGTAAATATGACCACAGTAGAACGAGAAAAATAATGCATAATGCACGAATAATGTAAATGTATCCCCCTTACCTCCAAAGTGAAACAAAGAAAAACATTATTAATGCTACTATAGTCAGTGTAACAACATTCCGCGTTTATATTTACCGAAAATTGAGGCAAATAGAGTTGCTGCTGCTATCTGTCCCGCTTTAACCCACTCAAACAGGTTGACGGCGATACTATTGAGCGATACATGAACCACGTGACCACATGGCGGCAAGATATATATGTACACACACACACACACACACACACACACACACACACACACACAAAACATCCCTGGATATTACTGTTGGTCGTTTAACATTTCTATTGTGTAACAGCTGTCAATTGTTAAATGTATTACAACTAATTACTTACATTTACTGTCACTGTCAGTAACTTTTTAGTGGAAGGATAGCATTTAATCAATTTATTTCAAAAAAGTAACATCAATAAAAGTTTTGGTTTGGATTGTTTGGTAACCATTTTATAAAAGCAGTAAGGTACAAGCTGCCGTGCTGTATTGTGAATAAATCACAGCTGAAGGGGTTGCAGGCATTCCACTTCCCGTCATGCCTATTAACGCCCTTCAGCCAAGACTTACACAACACATGGCCTCTTGTACCTTACTGCTTATATTATAGATAGAAAGATAGATAGATAACAATTGTGATATTTAATAATACCTGCTGTCTGTGAGCAGCAACATAGTTGAGTTTGACCATCTCTTTCCCAAACTCCTTAAAGCGATTGGCCAAGTCCTGCTCATTGGTGGCGTTCTTGACGGCTTCTAGAGCTTCTTCCACCTGTAAATCAACACGCACACACATACAAACATCCAACTGTTTAAACATCATCCATAAAATGAAAGGTAGTAGAAAAGTTCTATAAAGCACTTTAACTGATGTGGTTGAGTGACAGTTAACGTTTGTAGTGCTTATTATTGGCTCTCCTGGGGCATGTATAATTCTGACAGTTTTCACTCTCCGTAATGAGACTAGCAGAAGAACAAGGAGGTGCTTTGTCCCTTGTGGGACATCTAAAATTTTCTCAGCCTCATCCTAAGCTCTAAACGTTCTCCTTTCGCAACCAGTAAGTTTCACAGATCTTAGTTTTCAAATTTGTTTAGTGATTATATAACAGAGAGGCCGCTGGTAAACAAAAAAGCATTTAAATCCCTAAACTTAAAAAAAAAGAAGAAGAAGAATTATTTTTGTTGCCAGTGGGGAACAAAAATTGAAAGAAAACAGAATAGTGCAACTAGAAGCAAAGGATTATGGGTGTGAAAATGAAGGTACAAGAGCAAAAAGTCTAAATTCTGCCACTCTGAAAATAGCCTTATCTACACCATAAATATAAATGCAAAATATGGAACCTAATTGATGACCAGAAGCAAGTGAATGAAGTGAATATTTGAGAATGTTATTTTTGCATTTTAATAGTCTGTTGCAAAGTTATGCCAGGAGGTTGTTGCTTCAGCAAAATGCACTATGCAAATAAACAGTAGGACTTGAGATAAAGACAGTTTCTTTGTACTATAATAAATATAACTTCCTGTGCCCTTGAAATGGGTCTCCTTGGATATCGAAACAATTGAGAGGCGGGTCTGGCTTGTTCTGACCCGGTGGACGGTGACTAGCTGTGAAGAGCAGTTGCAGCGATGAAGCTTTGAACACTCAATCAAAAAAAACGAAAAAGGGAAATAAAAGATGATGATTAATTCACCATGAGACAGCTCTCAATGGCAACAAAAATTTGGTTAATTAATGTATATAAAAGTGTAAATGTTAAGAAGTAATAATGTTTGAAGTGGCTAGTAGAGAGTAGGGAGGTAAACACGGTAAACAAACAAATAAAATAAAATACTATTATTAAATGACAAATAAACTGTGATTAATTTCACAAATTAACTGCAACTGTGGAAAAATGGCCAGTGAGAAATTAATAAGAAGCGAACATACGATCTTGAGGTGAGCCAGGAGCCTCATGACGTCAGCCATGTCAGCCAGGATGAGGAGGCGAGTGACAGCAGAAAGGAGGGCACGGGCGGCACGGACCATGGTGCCACGTTTCACAGAGGAGCAGGGGTCATCCGCAAACTCTGAGGAGGCCACGCGCATCGTCTCACCTACACAGAGGCACAAAACAACCAAGACAAAAGCAAACAACATATGTTTAGAGTTCCACCACACAGCAAATCCCTTGTGCATGTCTAGCATTTTTAATTCAGAACTCACTAAAGCTGCATGGACATGTCAATAGTTTATTAATAGCTGTTCATCTGTTTACCAGTGAAATAAACTGCGAGTACAGGCAAGTTTGCCAAGAGTGTTTATTAGTGAAACAGCACACTTCAGAAACCAGTGTACAGGGGGTTGCTGGTGTCTGGAAAACATTGTGCCAGTTTTATGTCAAACACTCACTGAAATACAGTTAAGTCCATTTTCCAATTCTAACTTTTTTTAGAACTTTAACAACAAAAGCAGAAATCAATACGCAGAAAATAAAGTCTAGAATAAAAAAGCCATTTGTAGACTGGTACAGGAGTGATGTAAGCAGCTTTTTAATACCCTTTCATTTTGATTGAAAGTATTAGATGACCATGCACCTCCTGAACTTTTATGTATTAAAAAGTAGCACTTTCTATGTATTTATGTGTTTTACTTATGAGAAAAAAGCCTGATTCAGACTGTCAGAATGTTACTGTGGCATGCTTGCTGAAGTAAAAATGAGCAATTTGTCTCAAGGTTCATTGACAGAATCTATTAATGACCCTACAGTAAGTGGACTCCCACCTTCCATCTGAACAGGAGCCGCAGGCGGGACAGAGTTGATTAATGAAAGCTTACAAAAAGCCCGGCTGAGACATTAGCAAATGTCACTGAATCTGAGAATGATATACAGAGAAGAAAGATTGTGGCAAACTGACTTCCCAGAGTCTAGGGAAAGAGAGAATATTTGTTTTTAAGCCTGTACCGGCTCTGTGTGGGTGAACACTTGCATGCACATAATAAATATGGCTGCACTTTAGTGTATGTGCGTGTTCTGCTGTTTCTCTCACAGTGAACTGAAATGAAAGAATGCCAGCTATTCTTAACAGAGCCTTGCTGCTGCCCCTCCACTTCCAGGGGAAATGTCAGCACTGTCCTCTGGCTCTGTGCATTGTTGTGGCAGCTCTACCTTCACGGATTACCACAGAATGTTATAATCTTATTTCCATCCTAGCTCTCTTTTTTTTTGTTTACCCCCAGTATAATTTAACCAAGTCAAAAGAACAGACACATTCAGGCAAATTCTCATCCAAGCTATGTGAAGCAATCCTTATTTTTGCAATGTTTGGTCATGCTAATGGCATAGAAATCAAAAGCTAAAAACTGTTTTAAACCTGCTTTCTATTAGTCAGTAGAAACCAGTACCAGACTGTAATACCGCATCCGATGACCCAGAATAAATGAAAGTGAGTGTTAGAGATAACCAAGTCAATATTTAATGAGTGCAATGCTTATTTCTCCAGAGAAACTAAATCATAAGTTTCTACCAACTACTCAACAGACAGGACTGTGTGGTATCAAGGGCAGTGAATTAATCTATGCTGACTTAAATAAACCAGATGGAGTAGACATCATCTTTGTAGACACAATTTTGACAGCCTGCCTACTTCCAGATGCTGCCTGATAAGAGAGAATTTGAAGGTTTTAGACACACACACATACTTGCACTCTGTAAAGAGAGGTACTGTAGGTAACTAGTCAGACAGAGATATTAATGCTAATTATTTTTGACCAGAGAGAGAATGTGAAAGAGGTCAATGTTTTCTTATTATTTATATGAACAATAATTAGATTTGTTAAATGAAGAGAAACTGATGACACAACTACATCCATTGGGATTGCCACTACTTCAGCTTCAGTTTGGTAGCAAATTAAGACTATGAAAATGATCATGAGCCCACCAGTATTCAGTGAGTTTGTGCCAAAACCCAAAACTAAACTAAACTAAACAAAAACACAGTGACTGATAAAATGTTGTGATGAATGGGTCATCAGTTTCTCATAATTTAAAACAAAAACAAAAAAAAACAGTGACTGATAAAATGTTGAGATGAATGAATCCATGTATCATTCGATCATTCGTCTTTTGATTTAATATTGAAAGTAGAAAAATGAGAACACGGCTCCTTTTTTTGTTAAAAAACGAAAAACAAAAATTCAGCTTAAATTTTCGTTTTTCGTCCATGGGTGGAAAAATGAATAAACAGCTTGAATATTCGATGTCTACACATGGGCGGGAATTAAACACCCCTTTCTGCTGATTGGTCAGCCGAAGATCAAACCGTGCCTCAAATATTCAAGCTGTTTATTCATTTTTCCACCCATGAATGAAAAACGAAAATTTAAGCTGAA